TGGCACCGCCCTTGTCTATCTTCGCCAGACCACCTGGACTTGTGGACGAGGGTGACTGAGACAACGACGCAACGGCAGCGGTTGTGGTGACACTTGAGGTACCCATAGCAGACGAGACAATGGTGGTCGCAGGTGAGGTAACTCCTGTTCCAGAAGAGGTGTAAAGAGTTGGGCCAGTGCCCGTTACCGACCGCCGATTATTGGTAGTTGCAGTGGTTCCAGTGTAGTGGTGGTGGTCACCTGAAGAGGTACCGGGTACGTTTCGTCGACCTGTGTTAGAAAGGTGGAAGAGGATTGGGATCTCAAACAAATCCTGCACTCCTTAAATCAAACTACAGAAGCTTTTGATGTACACCAAGTGTTACACTTCGCTTTTAAAATTAGATATTGTTTGACATTTCTGCACTAGCACAATTGAGCTTATTAGTAGCAGTCTCCACGTCATTTGAAAAACCGATAGAGAATCGAGGATTAGTGCTTTCGATCCAAAATAAGACAAATTGTTTTGCACAGTATCTTTCAAGAGGAGTTTAAAACAAGCGTGGGAATTCTACGATAGTTCATCGATGTTTAAAATCCCTCCCCAACCTTCAAAGACAGAACAATCGCTGACGATGGGGAGTGGAAAATGTTCTTTGCACCACCTTTCAGTAGTACGTTAGAAGAATTCAGCTAATCTCATCTACCAATTAAGGGAAATTACACTTAGTTTGGATAGCTGAATCATTTATGTCATTTCAAAAAAAATATAATTCCGATTCACGAGGATGGTGAAGTAAAGCTACACCATCAATTCCAAATCCAAAATTTAAAGATACTTTGAAAAAGACGTTTGATGACCTGTCTATTAATGAAGTCTGAAAAGGTGGCAATCGGAACGGGACATGCACCAATTTAAAGACCTTAACAAAAAGCTGACCTTACTTCAGTTATTGAAAAACACCAAGCTGTTGCTAAAATGTATTACTTAATGAATGCAAAAAAAGGTAAGAACGCAAGTCACAAATGAAATTAGAAGTGGGTTCAGTGGAAAGCTGGTAAGTCATCGATGAAAATCGTTTGGTTTACCTAATAAATAAAAAAACAACCACACAAAGGTCATACTCACTGGAAAGTTCTGAGACCTGATTAATTACAGGAAAACTGAAACGCCAAAATAACCCGATCCAAATATAATCATATGCATCAGCAAGATGCAGAACCAAAAAATAAAATTTGTGGACTAAGCATAAAATATGTTGTGCGTTCAGTAACTGGACAATTTTGAATCAATTGGAGCCATACCAAGTAATCACGAAATCCAAGCTTTTCTTCACACGCACAATCCCTGCTTCAATATTTTTCGAAGTAAGGTTCCCTAATTGGTAGGATCCGAGAGTCGACGCTACGACTAGCGGTCGACAGTGCTCATCGTTCACGCTTCGGCTCAAGCATGATCACCTACACAAGTGTCGATTAACAATCACTGCAAAACGAGGAGCGACTGGAAACTGAAATATTTGTACTTTGGTAGGAAAAAAGCTATTCAGGCCTCGTATATGATATTATTCAGGTTACCTTTAATAAATGAAAGGATAGAAGTCGATAGTCCTCTCACTAAAAAAGACTTGGTTGTCAACATTGAGGTATTTTAATACTGACAACTGCTTCAAGAAGCCAATCAATTATAACCAAATAAACGTCAACAATCTGATGATGGAGCACTGATTATATATTGTCGACTTCTTTAAACTGTAAAGTGGGAGACAAAAAGTTTCACCGAGCTGGTAGAAAGAGAACATTAAACTTAGCCCCTTATAGTGCTTTGGAGCGGTGGTAAGAGTTTAATGGCAAGACAACCATCTCAGATAACTCTTTATTCAGTGGTTGAGCGAACTTCACATAACATGAATAATTAATGCGGCTCCAACACCTTCGACATCGAAGCCACGTAACAAAGAAAATCGACTTAGTCATTCTTGGACCTTTTTGATCACAGAAATGAATGAATATTTACGAATACCAGATGAAAAGCAAATGCACGATCCATCTCTTTTTCCACCACAGCAACAAATGATCGACCTCGAGGATGCTGGAATGTTATCCACGGTTAGCGATTTGCATTACCGAATGGTTATTTTAATATAGACTGATGAAACTATTGACTGATGGCAAGTAAAATACCAGTGGCGAATGAGGATTGGGCACGCGCCAGGATCATACCGTTGCGACACAGTTGTTTGTGACACCTTGGGAACAAATTATAGCGCGTCTTACTGCAAGAAACCACGCAATAGTGGACAACCTAGCAACACTACTAATCAAGAGGCCTTGTCTTCCTGCTTAAGGAAATTCGAACAGGCAAATCCCTCAAGTTCGGCCATTCCCCAAATTTTGAAGGTAATGTCATGTTAAGCACCTACGATAAACAAGGTGTAATTGCGTAGTTCTATTGAAATGATTTTGAGCATGGAACCATGTTTAATCTTTAGCAAAGAACGAATCAGAAGGGAAAGACAGCACAACCAGACAAAATGCAACCCAGGAAAAAGAGTATGACAACTGAGAGGTAAGTCGGTGCCACTAGTTTGACACCTCGACCTCACACGTCCATGAATCAAGGAAAATATTCAAAGAGCTGGTTATTCGGTCCACCTTTCCACCCTTCACAGTGATAATAAGTGAACAAAACAAGGTAGATAAAGTTGAGGACGAACAATGGTTTATTGAATGCAGCGAATAGTCATCTGCAAGAAAACTGTGGTATGCTGCAAGGCCTGATGAAAAGAGCAATTTAACGAACTAATTTGCATTATTTCAGTAAAGCCGTAGAAACCGATAAAGCAGACTAAAAAGCGAACATGGTTGAAGAGAACCAGATCTGTCTTCTTCTAATTTACCAACATCACAAAACAAGAATGGTTCAAAGATAGTCCTGATAAACCTAGTCAAATTGCTGAACACTAACCAACCCAAGTCAACTTCTTCCTCAACAGTGATGGACAAACAAATAACAAGCATAAAATGAGCAACTCACTAGCAGTACCAGAAGCAGCGATTGCGGTCATACCAACAACACGCTGTCCTCCAGAGTTCGGTACACCACTACCAACAGCTGTGCTTTTGCGCTGTCCAGAGGCATTCGGGCGTCCCGTGAGCATGTTAACGTCAACACTTGCACGTTGGCCCGGCGAGGTGACGTAATCGCCACTGGCACCAGTCGGCGAGAGAGTTGAAACGCGACTGTCAGCGTTCTCCTCGCTGTTGCGCATCACGGGGGCCTTTCTACAGGTGACATCGGTTGCGGTTGAGGTTGAGGATCCGTCCTGTCCTGAGTCCTTGTCTGTGGTAGGGAACAAGAATAGCAATAACAAATTCCAGCATCAAAAGAATGCACCAATTCCAAACTACCTTCTACAACACTACCCACTTGCTGCAGTTAAATATGTTATTTCCAATCCGTTGAAAAGACAACATCAGAGATATTGCTATGCAAAAATGTTTCACTCTTCTATGTGGATTGGAATGATAAATTTGTTTCACTTCTCCAAATTTCGAATGCACCTAGACTCCAGATTAAAGGAGGCATCAAGAGAAGGAAAATATAAAGGTAAATGGTAACTGAACTACTTTTCTAGGAATTTTCGAGGTTCGATTGAGTTCGAACGAGCGAATTTGCTGTAGAGATAAAGAAAAGCCTACAGTGAAATTAAGTGAATAAGAAATTAACAGAGGTCTAAAATAACATGAGTAACAAGGGAAGATTAAATTGGTTTACTAATACAGAAAAATTCATGCAATGATTCAAAAGTTTTCAAGTCCAATAACAACAGTCCGAGTGCCAGGAGCCTTTCAGTGCCAAGGTAAATTGTAAAAAATGATGAAAAGAGCGCATAACGTGTGTTAACATGCCAATAACTGCGAAAAATCAAATGAGCAATATGTTATTGCCAATGTTACCATCTCTTCCACATAAATAATTTGATTCCCACATGGAGAGAAT